AAAAAAAAATACTGAACAACAATACTATCTAAAATGGATAATATATAAAAACATATACTAAAAAAGCTAGCTCTGTATTTGAAAGGGACGCGCAACAGGTGTACGAATGCAAAGAGGGTGTTGTGTATGGTTGAGCTCCTCAAAAGTCGATAAACTTTCCGAGAGAGAGAGAGAGAGAGAGAGAGAGAGAAAGAGAGATTGTGTCTATACAAAGAAGTCTATTGTTACCACGATTGTAGATGCAGCTTTTATTTAAAAATATAATAATAATCTTGTATATAGGTGTTAAAATCACCCATGTATATGCTGCACACTTAATCCCAGTTATCAGTTTCTTGGGCATACATCGTAATAAATTTAATTACATATGTACACATTTTTTTAAGGCAGATGTGCTGCTTCAAAATTTTTGAAAAAGTATATAATTTTTCACTAGTTGTAAAATGAATTTTATAACGAAATAGAAGAGGGAACTATATTGCTTTACCTTATTTTCCATATTTTTGGGTTGATTTTCAGTATATCCGGTTATGAAATCTGTTATGTTGATGGGTTCAGATTAATGATGGTTCCAATTAATGATGGTTCTAATTAATTATGATTCCTATTAATAATGGTTCCAATTAATTATGGCTCCAATTAACTATGATTTCAATTAATATTCCTATTAATAATAATGGTAGTAATGATGGTACAAACAAAGCAAAGTGATTTTCGCAGCAAATAAATAATATATAATTTGTCCATGCTTTTTAAAAATATTTCACAAACATTAATTTATTTTCACGTCCTTGTTTTTTTGCCATCGTTTAGAGTTGAAATTCTCGAAAATGACATTATTACTATATCGTCAAGAAAGTGTGTGTGTCTATTAGCAAAAGGTTTCCAGGAATATTAGAGAGAGAGAGACAGTGGAGAATAAGCGGTTACTGGGGACTTATTAATTTTGTGTCTTCTTGTTTTTTTTCCTTTTTTTTTTAATTTTATATGCGACTATGATAGATTGTTATAGTAATTTGTAAAAGAGACCGAGTTTCGAGGAATGAAGCGTTTCTTGGCTTTTAATGGACCCAATGACCTCGTCGCCCCGCCATATGTTGGGGAGGACGACTGATTTTGGATATATGCCACGTATGGGCTATAGGTTCACGACAGCTGCACCAGTTGTTGAGCTGTTGCCTCAAGACAGAGGGATAAGAAATTTGGCGTAGCACGTGCCTTCATATAACCGTTAAACAGCTTCAAGAAGCCAAATTTTGTTCTCAAATCCTCGATTTATTATGGTTCGACCCATTTTCTTTTTTTTCTATCAGTTACAATTTTTTAATTTCTTAAGGGTGGGGGGGGGGGCAAAAAAGCACCTTTCCAGAAGAAAACGATTTTAATTTTCTTCAGGGTTACCACGGGTCATTGTCTTAATTTTTTATAAGTTCATTGTGGTCAGAAAAAATTTAAATAAGGGAAAAATTTTTACGGCAACCTTGTTATTTAATAAATTTGAATTGTGCGGAATTTTGTTTTTCAAGAAAAAATGCTAGGTTTTTTTGAAAAAAGACAATTTTAAGGTTATCGGATAAAAGAAATATTCATCTTGGTATTTTTTTTTTTAATTAGGTTTGGGAACTCGACGCAAATAACCACGCGAGATGCAAATTTATGTATTAATGAAACGCGCTCGTAAGGTGAAATGTCATTGAGGTTGGGAGGTGAATTTAAATTTCCATTTTTGATATTGAGCAACAGTTTAGTTTTTTTTTTCTTTTAAATATTTATATATAATTGGATTTCTCCCTTGTTTCTTGGTTGACATAGACAGACAAAAACCCCTTGCGATTAATTAATTATTATTCTTGAAAGTATACTTATAACTCAGGTGATCCTCAGCACCTGTCCTCGTGGGAAAATTCAACGGAAAGTCATTTTGCGGTATTTTTATTCTAAATACGTGTTTTGTAAAAATAAAGAAAAATAAACAATAATGCCGGTGTGTATGCGGGAAATTGGGTGATGATTATAAAATCATGGTAGATTAATTCTACCATGTTTCTTCTTTTTAGATGTTTTGCATTTTTATTTTTTTCGCGGTTCAATTGATGAGCATGTAACAACAAAACTACCGAAAAATCTCGAATGCAGTGGCATTTCGCTTGATGCGCCTCGAGTATAAAAGCATCGATTTCGCGGAATATTGTTGGCAATTGAAATTCTTGGCGAATTGCTGGCACAGTACGCGTGGCACGTGGGGTTTTTCAATCGGCTTTCTTGGACGCGATTGTCGGTTATATTACTCCTCCTTCGAGCGTGTGTCGTATTGCCGTAACTTTTTTTTTCTGATGCACGCCTTCAATGTCGATGATGGTCTAATCAGAAGAATAAAGGTGCAATTTAAAAAAAAAATTAATACTGTTTGTATTTTTTTTCGAAAAAAAAAAATTGTTTTTCCTTTATATTTATTAATGAAGTAAGGATTATATATTGATGTGAAAAGCATAATGTTTATATATGCGAAAAATTCTGATCGTGCGTCACAGCGTCAGTGGGTCCTCGCCCACACTTTATCCACAAATAGCAACGAAATAGGTTATCGTATGTCACTGCTCGACAAACGCAAGGTCTCTCATTGGACTTGATAATTTCATGTAATCGGATTTTTTAAAAAAGAATAAAGGGTTTTTTATATTCAAAATCCCTTTTTGAAATTAAAAAATACATTTGCCTTTTATTTATTCGACAATTTTTAATTTTTCCACTTTCCTGATGTTATACATCTGTTTTTATCTCATAAAATTTTATAAAAATAATATTCATAATTGGTTACAAAATTTCAAAATGAGAATAATATTTAATGGAGAATAGTGTATTCCGAAAACGATGATATAATTGTTGAATAAACGGTTGAGGACCCTAATCTCAAAAAAAAAAGTTTAAAGTTTAGTGCATCTTATGCACCATAAGGCTCACATGGCATAGAGAGCATATTCCGATGCACCTGCACCTGCCTGGCAGTTGCCCACCCCCCCCTCTCTTTCTCTCTCTTGATGCCTATCTAGGCCTCTCTACTGGGCCCCTTGTCTTGCCATCCCACCGCGTCACCTGACGCAAAACTCACCGACTGCACTGTGTGAGAATTACCATTAACCTGCCTTCTCACACACGTGGAGGGAAATTACTTATTTTTATTTTATATGTGCACTAAAAATAACAGAAAGATATATATCCCTTTGGATATTGCGAAAAAAAATGATCCCTATACCAATACATTAGTACGAAAAATTTTGCATCCATTTCAAAAAATATTTTGAAGCCTGACTGAATGTTCAAATGAATGAAAACTTTGTTTAACTTCAAATGCGCTGACCTTCCTAAGTAATCTATATAGAAATAAGAATTGAATCTAAATACAAACTAGACAAAAACTATATAGAAACTAGATAAAAACGGGATAGAAACTAGAATAGAACTGGATAGATTCTAGACAGTCTAACTGTTCTGTCCTTTTTAAATAATCTACAAATGCACTAAATAATTTCCATGTAGTTCAAGTATGTAGAAACTAAATATAAAAACTGTATAGAAACTAGATAGTTTCCAAACAGTTCAAGTATCTAGAAACTAGATAGTTTCCATATACAGTTTAAGTATCTAAAAAGTAGATAGTTTTAATATACTTTAAGTATCTAGAGACTAGATAGTTTGAATATAGTTGAACTATGTAGAAACTAGATAGTTTGAGTACAGTTGAACTATCTAAAAACTAGATTGTTTACCTACACGGAAAAAAAGAAAAAGTAACTTTTACTACTTTAAAAGTAAAATTGGACCTGTCCGAAGTTTCTGCGCATCTCCGGCAACTTTTACTCCAAAAATAGTAAAATTTACTTCAGAAATAGTAAAAATTACTACGGAAACAGTAAAATTGACTACAGAAATAGTCAATTTTACTATTTTTCGAGTAAAAGTTGCCAGAGATGCGCAGAAACTTCGGACAGGTCCAATTTTACTTTTAAAGTAGTAAAAGTTACTTTATTCGTTTTTCCATTTTTCTCCGTGTATAGTTCAAGCATCAATTTTTGTATTAAATTATACAAACAATAATAGGGAAAAGAAAATTATATAAATCTAGATGACAAAAATGTGATTTTATTTTGAAAAGTATAAAATTTTGAAAGCAACTGATGGTGTGGTATCAATGGAAGCGTAAATTCACTTGTAAGAAGTTTTCCTTATTCCGATGGTGCTGATATACATTATAGTTTTATGATTTGTGTTACACGCGTTGAAGTGTTGAAGAATCGCAAGGGGAAAACTTTCGAACCAAAACACTTGTATTATACATATATTTATATTTATATGCGATATATAGTTTGAAGAAAGAAGTCAAGGAACCTTATCGACTACTTGCATAGATTTAGAGAAGATAGCAATCTAACGCAGCCATATGGTAATAAGGGACATATATTTTAACGATCCTATGGAATAGCTGCTATACTGCCATGGGAGAATATATATTCAAGGAGCTTGTATATACATATATTATATGGCGATGCGTTCTATTAACGCGCTTGCACTATTCTCTCCTTCTTAATGTCAACTCAACTTTAACTTGAAATACTTGGTTAATATTTTGCCTCTCTCTCTCTCTCTCTCTTTCTCTCGCGGTTATGTCCTGAATTTATAACAACTCTCGATAGATATCCCCCTGAGATAACTTTAATTTCATATATGTATATATGATGATGATAATGATGATGATGAAAATTATAGCAAACTTGTTTTTGAAACGCTTTAATAATAATCTATAAAAAATGCAGTGGTTTTGAAAATTTTCATTCAATTAATTTTCAAGTATATAAAATTCACATGAAAATTAAATTAATGAGGAAATTTTTATTGAATTATAATTTAATGATAATATAATGATAAAAAATATTTGTTATTTCTAAAGAAATTTGTAACTAATTCTAAAATATTTGCTAATGGTATGTGCTTTTTTTTTACAGATATCCCAACGCAAGTGCCTCCCCTCACACCTGGGACAAACAAAAAGATGACAGAGGCCTTAAAGGCCTCATTCGCTTCTTGGGAAAAGGAACAAATTCGCCTCAACATAACCAAAGGTAAGAAATAATATTTATTGTCATATTATTTTAACATTAAATTCAAATCGTGGATTAGTCCGCAGTAATTGGTACATTTATCCTAAATGATTTTTAGGGTTAAAATGTTTTTTTTATTAGTTTAGTAAAAAAGATCTTTGTGAAAAAACTGTGGATATAAAACAAAAAATTCTTCATCTATTTCCTTTGGAAAAATGATTTAAATTTTGGAAATTTTGAACTTCAAAAATCAATATTGAAGATTATTATTTTAAAAGACGGTTATTATAAGCCAGCAAAAATATATTACATCATAGGTGAACTGATTCTATTTTTAGATTTTGTAATCAAAAATATTTACAATAGAATTCAATGCATGGCATATAATGCCAAGCCAATATATATATATATATAGTCATTGGTATCAGCGATGAATGAAAACTTGATGATGATGATGATCGTTCCACGATTTTCGCGTTAAAATAATCAAGGAAGTGGAACCGCCTCGGACAATTAGGTTCATCGAGGTCGAAAAGTAATAATATTTCGAAAACATTATACAAATTTTTTTTTTCGAGGGGGGGATCTTTTATGCAAAAACTATATTTCAGACTCATAAAATATTAATGTTCCAGTCAATAAGTTTTCCAATTTGCGTTATTGCTCAAATATTTTTGTTTACTTTCTCTCTAAAAAAAAAAAAAATTGCACAATCGAAATTTTTTTAATGCATCTATTTTGAACCTACTTTGGGCCTACATTTGACATACTTTGAACCTACTTTGGGCCTACCTTTAGCCTGTACGACGATAGGATTAGATAATAGAAAAAGGCATTTTAAAATGAGAATAATTTTTTCTGTATAAAGTCGTGATTGTGAATTTTTTTTTTTTTTGGTATCCCCCTTTCTCTCATTTTGATCAGAAGTGGAACGGTTAGGTTCACGGAGGTCAGACGAGGTGATCTGGCCTGAGAGGGTACCCGACGAGGGCATGTAGACCGGAAGTAACGTCACACCCGCGTGGCTCTGAATGCGCATACCGGATGTGTGGCATCGGCTCCCCATCAGAACCATCAACATCACATTCACGATTCCATAGCACATCGCGTCGCACATCGCATCGCTTTGCATGCACGCATTCACGCACTCTACCTACATACACAGATATAAAAAAAAAATTTATATACACACACATTCTCATTTGTTATGTGTTTCTATATATATATATATATAATAAACGCAATGACGAGATCCACCTTCACTACCTTCAGATTATTCGATTGTTGTTTGTCGTCGTTTTGACATTGTTCAACCCTGCGACGACGTTCCCTCTTCTGTAGATTATAATTTGAGACTTTGACTTTCAACTCATGTGTATATAGTAATTATGTACTATAAAAGTCGATTTAATTTTTAAAAAATTGTTTTATTTTTTTTTCATGGGCAGCTTTAATTGAAACTAAATTGCTTCGGTTTTGAACCTATCTGTAACCAATTTTGGGACTACTTTCGTCCTCCTTTGGAACTATGTTGAATCTACTTTGAACCATTTTTGGACATATATTGGATTTACTTTGAACCTACTTTAGATTTTCGTTGAAATTCTATTGATCCTACTTTGAACCTACTTTGAGCTTACTTTAGCTGATACGATCCTATATTTCTCCTACTTTGAACCTACTTTGGATCTGTATTAGACCTACTTTGAATCTATATTCGATCTACTTTGAACCTGCTTTGAATATACCTTAAGCCTACATTCAACATACTTTGAACCTATTTTGTTTTCATTAAACCCACTTTGAGCCTTTTTTATACTTACATTGAACCTATATTTGCCCTGTTTTGAACCTACCTTAAGCGTATATTCTTTGAGCCTATTTTTGGCCTATATTAGACCTAATTTGAGTCTACTTTAATCCTGCATTGAAGCCATATTGGTCCTACTTTGAACGTATATTGACCTAGGAAACCTAAACGATTAATTTTTATTTATAATAATTACATTCTCATCACATGAGAAGGTATTATTGTTTCTTAGTAATGATTAAATGTATTTGAAATGATTTTTTTTTCTCGAGAGGGGGATATAAATAAGATGCGTTCATAATGCGTTAATAATCCAGTTTAATTATAGTTTTTATAGACTTAAAATACAATAGACTATTTTTATATTCTATTTTGTTCTTTAACATTGAAATTTGATAGTAAATCACACTGAATATATAGGAATGGAAAGATTTATATACAATTGTTGGTGGGGGGAAAAGCTTGGGAGGGGGACTTATTGTCCATTCGAGGCTTTCATTTGAGTGGAATTACATAACAAAGACGGAATTATCACCTGTGCAACAGGTAAGCTCGGATCCCAAATGGATCGTTTCTCACTCTAAATACCTCTAAAACCAACTTAGAAACGATATAGGCTCTCTCTCTCTCTCTTTCCATATATAGCGAAACACAAAGCTTAAAAGTCGGATCTTATTTATCTCATCTCACAATTTTGTTCTTTATTATTGTTATTTTAAATCACCTGCCTGCTCTTTTTAGATTTTTATCAAAAATGTCCTTATTTTGACTGCAAAAATCAGTTTGCTGCTCCATTGAATTTATGTCTCAGTAAAAAATTAAAATATAGTTATTATAAAAAAATGTAATCTAAAAAAAAGAAGTAGGAGAAATAAATATAAAATTGACTAAGAGGACATTTTTTCTTAAATACCAAGAAAAGATTTGAACGGAATGAATTTGTTTTAAGATAAAAAGGGGAAAAAAAACCTAAAATTCCTATTATTTGAAAAGTGGTCGATAACTATGGTAAGTGTTCTACACAGATCGTGTACATATATTTCGTCTGAAAGTGACGAGTATGACATATATATGCAAGGTGAAATGAAAGGATAGAAGAAGGCGAGAGCGAGTAAAGAGTTTTTGTTAACAATGCTGACAAAGAATAAGTTGATCAAACATTGGCCCGATTCTCAAACATATGCGCGGTCGCTTTGATCGTGCGCCGTTAGAAACTGCACGTCTTCCACTCACCTTTTCTATATATATATTTATTTATCGGCTCTATACTGACATATGACGCAGTTATAGTCTCTAAAATGTCCACGCGTACGCATTATTCTTTCATTTAAACATATTATATCAACTCTTCATTCATAATTCTATTTTTCATCACTCTGTAACGATTCTCTTACAAATTTCAATTCTTTGTAGATAATTATAATTTTTTACACTTAAAAAAAAAGAAATTATTTGGTCCAAATAATGGGGAGTTTAAGGGTATGTCCAAGTCCATCCGTCATACACTCGTACGGTTGCCAAGGTAACAGTTACCATAGCAACCGTTTCCATGGCAATAGTTACCAAGACCGTTGTTTTCCTTAGCAACGGTTGATAAGGACTATTTTTCCTTAGCAATGGTAATATTAATATTGGTATTATAATTTTTCTCTTTTCGTAATTATTGCACATTTTAAAAAAAAAAATAATATTGACTGTACTTTTCGTGTAGATATATATACATATAGATTGGACTGTACTTTAACGTGTTGAGATACCAAGAAACAATGCAAGACACGCGTGCAAATATGGGCGCGCACTTCAAATGGGACATTCCAATGGTTCTTGGTATATTGTTTCTGCTAAAGGATCGCGAGGGACCGATGATTATACTTTCAACTTGTCATATATAATAAATATATATTCGTTCATTGACTTTTTATATAAATTGCCCGCCGCATTTTTCTCATCGGCATTTAATTTTCAATTTGAAATAAAATAACTAATTAACAAATAATTAATAAAATTATAATAATGAATCGTATAAGCAAATTTTTTTTCCCAGTGGGAAAAAATTAAAATTGTAAAATTTAGTTTTAAAGTCAAAAATCACAGTATTTTTTTTTCTTTTTTTAAAAAACATCAGAAATGTAAATATAGAAAACGAAAAAGGAAGCAATGGGAAATGTTTATTAAATGCGGTTGATAATCTCATCTTTTATTTTTCAGACCCGAGGCAATGGTCGGAAACAGCTGTTATGCACTGGCTGGATTGGGCCATCAGGGAATTTTCGTTAGCTGGAGTGGCAATGCAGCCCTGGCAACACATGACCGGAAAACAGATTTGTGCCATGGGGAAGGAATCCTTTTTGGCACGTGCTCCTGCCTTTATGGGGGACATCCTGTGGGAGCACCTCGAGATGCTTCAAAAAGGTATGTAATATAATAATAAAATCAAACAAATCCTTCGCATTTCAAAAAAAAAAAGAAAAGAAAGAAAATTTTTATTTCTTTTCTATGTTCAATTTTTTTACGACTAAATTGAATTTTTTTCTCCTCGAATTATCGAATATTGAATTCTGAAAAAAAAATTTATTTTTATTTAGCCGAATTTTTTATTTATTCTTTTATTATTATTTATTTTATTTTTTAATTTTATTGTTTTATTATTTAAATATATTATTTTATTATTAATTAATGATCCTTGACTCTTAATTTAAAAAAAAAAACAAATTAGCGAATAAAAAGTGAATATAACAATAAGCGATTTAGAAATGAAAATACAAAAATCAGTGTTTTTAAAAAAATTGATGGAGCGTAGAAATGCAATTTTTCTGGTAATGGCGTAAAAGAGAAAGACACAAAAAGGATATTCTTATACATGTGTATGTGTGTTTGTTCTATATATGGAAGACATCCTGCTGTGGTTCTGTAAAAACAGATCGAATTTCCGTAAAATCGTGATATCCCGCTCGCGGCAGGTAGGGGCGAACAATGACGATCACTGGGGGCGTTGAATCGTTCCAAGTTTTTATTTCGATAAAGGAGAATGAATGGAAAAAAAAATTCAGAGATACTCTACGCACCATAGAAACTTTTTAGTCCGGATGCACTGGGTTTTCAGAATGGGACGTCAGCCACTTAGCGCAGAATTTTTGAATCTGCCTCTTCTCAATTCTCACACTTCCGGTCTATAATATCGAGAGATCCTCCTCCCGAAAATAAAAAAATAAATTAATCAAATTTTCCTAGTTTAAAAAATAAAATAAAAATTATTTACTTTTTTTTATCCAATTCGCGTGCAAAATAGGATGATTTTTTTCTCTTGTAAGTGCATAAAAATTTCTTAATATCCGTTCTCGTTTGATGAAATAAAAGCAATATAAAACTTTTGCTATAAAATATATATATGAATCAACTTTGGATTTCTGTCGTAGAGAACAAAGGCGATGAAAAATAATCGTGCATTCAATTTGCATGAATTAACTTTCCTAATAAAGGTCAAGCAAAAAAAAAAGGGTCCTTGTTAGTATTTCTTTATAAACTTCCGGAGGTAAAATTTATATTTTTTCAATTATTAAATAAAATTTAATTTTGTTAATATTTATAAATGCGTGAGATGAGCAAAAAAAAAACTCCCAAAAAAAAGGGATGAGAAAAATTTTTCCGATTAAACTATAAATTTATGAGTGAATATTTACGAGCAAGTTGGCGAAATTGAAACGATTAAAAGTGAAAACTCACGCATATACATAAAACTTTGTTTATCTAACGTTCACGAACCGTGAGTATTTCCGGCGAAGTTTGGCATTTTTTTTTTTTAAATAAAGCCGTTAAATAGAAACGAATTTTTTTTTAAAAACAAATTGATGAAGAAAATCGGGATTTGCAAAAGTGAACCAAATTTTTTTTTTCAAGGAAGCACGGAATTTTATTTAACGGGAGTTAAATCATGGGTGAACATCCGTATCCTGTGTATATGTCTGTTTCAATACTTTTTTTTCTTCTTTTATCATTCGCCTTTAATTCTCGTGTTTGAAAGGCCTTTTTTTAAAACTATCGCACCTTGCTACCACCTGTAAAGCGAACTTCTGAATGCTCTGATTTCTTTGCGGTTCGAAAACATATGTTGCGCTCACAAACCACCACCTATCATCACAATCGCTCGTCAAAATAGATTATCTTTTCTTTAGAAAAAAAAGAGAGAATAATTGGTATCAATGGCAAAAATTAATAGGGTCATTCCAAGTAAGATTTTCATTCACATTTTTTTCGAAATTTTTTTGTGAAAAAATATGTATTTTAAAATTTTTTTTATTGTTATGAAAATTATAGAAGTTATAATTTTTTTTAACTTTTTTTTTTTTATTTTTTAATGCAAAGTTGTGAAAATTTTTCCTCATCGTGGAAAAAAATCTCAAGGACCCAATTATTATTATTCTTATATTGTTTGATTTAGAGAAAAAGATTTTGATTTTCGCGCGTGTCGTTGTTTTTGCACAAGTGTGTGACTTGAACCTGTGTCACCTTTCTTTCATCTTTCTTATATATTAGAGTTGGCATTTTAAAACTTGACGAAATAACCGCAAGTTGCGGTGAAACAAGAGCGCACTGAGTCGGTCGGCCGGAAGCCCTTGCGTAAAACCTACAGGAAATATAACGACTATGGAGGCGTTCGCTTCAATGAAATTTCTACGCTCCCTTAATTACTTGTATACGTGTATATATATATGAATGTAATCGTCGCGCCCTACAAATATTAAATTAGATAATAACTCGGATATTCATCTATAAACTAATTAAAGATAACTGCGTGAAAGTTGAAAAAAAACCGAGCTTTTTCATTAATGCAATATTAGAAAATATTTACATTATTCTGCTCGTTGATAAATCTAATGATGATTCATTCACTATATTGTTTTGTAACGTTCGTTGAATATTGTTCCACTTTGTGGTAAGCCAAGTACGTTTCGTGTATTTTTTTTTATTTTTAAACAATTTTTATAGACATAATTATTTAATGTTTAAAATAATATTGTTGATAACAATATTTTTTTGTAACAATAACAGTAATTATTATTATTTTAATAATAATAATAATTATATTTAAAAAATGAATATAATTTTTCTTTGATTGTAATGATTATAAGAAATGTTGTAATATTGAAATAAATTGTTTGTTTGTTTATTGACAGACGTCGATGTGGAAAAAGCGTCGTTGGAAAATGTGCCCGCCAATTTGTACGAAAGTGTCTGCGTCCCGGATTTGGGCGATTTTCTAGGATATCAGAACGCGGCGAATGCAGTTGCAACACCGGAACACAAAAGTCCAGCGACTCCTGCAAGTTCAACAACTTCAAATTCATCTGGACCACAGCGTTCATCTCAAACAATTCAATCTGCTGCGCCAATCATCCCCCTACCACCAAGGCAATTTCACTCCGAAGGTGAGTTTTTAAAAATTATTTTTCTCCTCCAAATTCAATTTCTAATTACAAATAAATAGAAATCTTTGAAAAAGAGAAAAACAAAAAATCTTTTGACAATTATTTATTTAGATTTATAATTATTCTTGGAAAAAAATGAATTTTAGAAAATATAGAATATAATTTGGTTATAATGAACAATTTTCTGAGGCAGAAAGTTGCGAGAGATTTTTTACGTCATTGTGAGTGTTTTGCGTTGAAACGACAAGTAGATTATTTTGCTCGCATAAGACATGTCTCCCAACTTTTTGAACGACAAAAGACTTTTGCCTATTTTCTGCGCTGATTGCAAATAAACAAGCAAAACGAAAGCGTTGCGACGATGAAGTTTCTCATTGTTACATCAGGGCAATTGATAGCATCTTTCCTTTTTGAGTCGTTGGAGCTACTCTCTTTTACCTTTATTATTATTATTCCTTCGTCTTGTATAGTATTTTTTTCAATTACCCCTAAAAAAACAAGGATATCATTTTTTCACTTCTATTTTCCAAAAAAAAAAATTTTTCCTATCGGTTTTATTTTTTATTTATAGAAATTTTTAATTTTGATTCGAATTTTATTTGTCTGTATGTTCGGCGAAAATCGAACAAATTTTCTTTTTGTGCAGAAAATTTTATTCTACTCGCCAATTGAAAATCGAGTGAGAAATTTTAGAATCAAATAGACTTTTCTTTTGAATTTTTTTTTCTGAATGAAATTTCGATATTTTTGCGCTTGTGAATAGAGAAAAAATTGTGTACTAAAGAATAGGGGTAAGGGGGGAGGCAGAAATCGCCACGAGTCAAACGGAATCATCTCTATTGTCCGCAACGAAGCATGGAGGACCGGCTTTCCCTCGTTCACCCACGGTCACTGCTGCCATGACGTAAGTCTCGGCCCCGTCTAGGTAATTGTTACTTACATATATGCTATATACCAAAGAGTCGGTTCATATAATACCATCGTTTTTTATGTGTGAGTACATGTCGACGCATCTGCATATACATATACTATATAAAGATAGAGAGAGAGAAGGGTGTAATGTCGGTCATCATCATCTTCATTGATAATCTCTCGTCTTCGTCTGTGAGTTCATTTCTATTCTCCCGCATTGCCAACCAAGCACAGTCCAATCTTCTCTTAAATTGCTCACAATAAAAAAAATCGAAGAGACAAAAAATAATTTTTTATACAATTCTTGTTTTTGAAATTTTTATTTCGCCAAAAATTTTATTGGAATTATCATTAGATTCTCTGAATTTTTATTTGATAGTATTTTATTGGAGCAAACTTCTATTTAACTGAATTCTGCCAAATAATAATTTAGTTAAATTTTAGCTGAATTATATATTAAAATAATTTACCTGTTTTTGGATTAGAATTTTGATTTTTTTTTCTTTTTTGGGGTAAAAGTGTATACAAATAATATAAATATTGTGTGCACACGAGAGTCGAAGATCGCGAGTCGTTTCAAATGCACGTTCGTGAGATGTATAAATGGGCTAACACAAACGACCGCATAATAGACTCATTATTTCTGCTTGCCGGTATACCTACTGTTACGTTATGTTTCGTAGCTCTTCGAGGTCTCTGGTTCGACTCTCGCTTATCCTCTTCGCTTTCAATTTCCTCACAATGGAACCGATTTGTCCTCCTAACTCTCTTAAGAGAGAAAAAAAAAACACTCTTTTACATTTTTGCCGAAAAAAAATTTATTTCTTCATATTATATCTTCTCGTGGGAAAAATTCTGCAAATTATCAACGTAAATATTCATAATACTTTTAAAATGTTAATATAATTTTGAATATAATTTCGGTCAAATGAAAAATCTGAATTATTTTTAGTTTTTAAATTTATCACGTAATATTTAGAGAATATTTTGTTTATTTTCTGTCACGTAGGCAAGTTGCACGTATACCCCTGAAAAACACACATTTATATTACACTTACATTAAAGATATTAATATATATGTATATGTGATAAATATACAATACTTGCAGAATAGCAGTGACTCGTGCAAAATGTGAAGTTAAGGGGGGAGGAAAGGGGGGGTTGAGTTGCTTGACACTAAACCAAAAATGGTTTGTCTCGTGACGCCATAGCTCGTTTATGGAAATCGTTAGTCAATCAAACTTGTGGATCCCATCAATTTTATTAAGCAATCACCGTATTAGTTAGTTACTTCGAAAACTCAGGCTGCATTTTGATTTCTCATTATTTCTCAGTGTATATATACATTGTATTATATATATACATAGTTTTAATATCTAAGGCGAACAAGGTCCCCGAAAAAAAATGTCCTCCATATAGCAAAATTATCCTTCATGACTTGCACTTTACAAATAGATGCAATTTGTTAATTTGTTTTTTTTTGTTGGCGATTTTAATCGATTCAATCGTATCGTTGTGTTTTTTTGTTCATTTATGCAAAAAAGGAAAAATGTAATTTTTTTAGATATTCGTTTGCTACAATGAAAAAAATTTATTGAATTATACCATTACCATTAGTTAAAACTATCATTAGTCGGAACTATCATTAATCGAAACAATTATTTATTAGTCAAAACTACGATTATTCTAAACAACTTTTAGTTGAAACTACCAGTAGTTGGAACTACCATTAGTTGAAACTATCATTAGTCAGAACAACTATTAGTTGAAATTACCATTAGTCAAATCAACTATTAGTTGAAAATATCATTAGTAGGAACAATTATTAGTTAAAACTACAATTAGTCGGAACTACCATTAGTTGTTTGTTCTCATACCAAATACTTTGTTACTAATTTTGATAGTATCGACCATAAGTTAACATTTGTGGACAATGCCTATTTTTTTCTACGTATTCTGGAAGAATGGATTTTGAATCTCAACGGCTGCTGTTTCTTGGATGATGATGATGATAATAATAAGAAAAGATGGTGAAATATATTTTGAAAAATTTGAATTAAAACCCCCCTAACGTCTTTTTAAGTTCAAGTAGTCAGACGAGGTTTTCTTGCCAAGCATCTGCCGTGCTCTCGTTCCCTTTTTTTCTTCTTCTTCTTCGTCGTCATCATCATCATCATCATAGTCTTTGAAGGTACTCGAAGTGAGCAACAATACGCAGTGGGCACATTAAGGGTGCATTAAGGGAGGAGCACTCGAGGACATTATAAAGCTATCTGCCCCTTATATATATATATTGAAGTTCGGTTCCCTCCCTTTGGTACCACCCTTGGGCTCGACTTCCGGTTGTAATGCGAGCTTCCAGTCTTTTTGCCTCGGCGAGTTTCAGTTCCGAGACGAGTCGCCGAGAAATGCCACCAGTAGGGATAAAATTAAATGAGAGAATAAGAGAAAAAGAGAGAGTTGCTTAAAGGGAGAAAAAGCACACATTTACGTGTCTGTGTTTCCTCAAGCCACGTCGAGACGTTTCGTGTCGTGAGTACTGAATGAGTCTTGGCTTTGTAGTTTCGTCGTTTATACATATATATATGTATTTCCAACCAGTGTTGCACAGAACTATGAATGAACCACTGAATGAATACAACCTGCGTCAAACGGAATGCCCCTCTTCTCTCTCTTTCTCTCTTTTTCGTCTATATAGGTAAGCCTCCAGAATGGTCCTCAAATCCTTCATCCCTTCGAGTTTGATGCCTTCGGTATATGCATTAGTTTATTTCTTTAAATATATACTATATGCACTGTTGACCAGAATTCCGATCGTCCAAAAGTCAGGTATTTTTTTTCCCTGCCATAAGGAATTTTTTCGAATTTTTTTGTAAATATTTAAAAGAATATAGGAAAAACGTTTTTCCAATTTTTTTTTCTTCTTTAAAGACGAATGAGTGACTGTAGTTAAAACTAATGATAGTTCCAATTAATGGTAGTTGCAATTAATAGTAGTTCCGACTAATGGTACTTTCAACTACTGATTATTCCAATTGATGGTAATTCCAATTAATAGTAGTTCTGACTAATAGTACTTTCAACTATTATTTGTTCCAACTAATAGTTGTTCAGACTAATCGTAGTTTCGACTAATTGTAGTTTCAAGTAATAGTTGTTACGACGAATGGTAGTTCCAACCAGTTCCAACTAATGATAAATTCAATTAATGGTAGTTCTGACTAGTGGTAGTTTTAATTAATGGTTGTTCCGACTAATGTTTCGATCTCATGTATTTTTCTATTCTTCTTTTCTTTTTTTCTTATACACTTTAAGAGTGCATGGTAAATTTGTGTATATATTTCCATTGAAGTTGGCATGGGACTTGACTATGATTGTATATATAGTAAAGGAACGACGAAGCAGCACGAGGCGAAAGATGGGGAAGAAGGGGAACAACTTCCGGTCCCCCTCGATATCACGTGCGAGAGAGCCACTGTACTGAAAAACCCCCCTTGCCTCGCCTCTTCGGCATCCGGTGTTTCCCCTGTCTGTACCCCACCAAACTCCCTTTTCTTTCTCAAGAACCCTCTCAAAAATAGGCTAGGCCCCAATGAAACTTGGATGCGTGGGCGAAACGAACCACGAATCTGGGCCCCCTTTTTTTTAAACATATAACACGTATCTATAATTGCGTACTTTGTTTTTCCATTTAGTCGTTTACGTTCCAATTTACTTTTTATAAACTCTTTTTTATTAAATTAAAAATAAATCCAATTAATGAAAAATCATCATTTATTGAATACAAGAATTATTCAAATGGCCTAAAAAAAAAGTTTTAGATACATTTGCAAAGTATAGACTCTACCAACAATGACATTAAAAAGAAAAGAAAAATAAATAATAATACTGGTTTTCTAGCTAACAATTAGTTACCCGATTGCGCTATCAGAATTATCTGTGACTTTCGCTTCAAGCTTAATTATTTTGCAATACACGAGGCGCAATATATATACAATATATTCGACAAGCGTGCGTTTTTCTTACCCCCCCCCCTCTTATGAAAATAGCGTGTACTGGTGAAATTAGTTTTCCTCATTAAAATAATT